GATACAGCCTGATTGAATGGGAGTCAGGGGCAGAATAGACGTGGTTGAGGTGAGGAAAAGAGAGGCATGTTCTTGTTTTTCTGTTCAGTTGAGGAGGGATTTTACCTGGATTCTCCCCACGTATTTTTGTATTTTATGAAAAATATCTAGACCTAACTTTCTTCCTTCACTGATGACAAGATCTTGTTTTTTTGGAGCGACCAGTTATTTTGGAACCATGTCTGTGCACTTGGGATATATACATGTCAACCACTATGGACATTTTCCTATACTGTCCTTCCAAAATCTGTAAATATTATATAAAATCCAATGGTGCAGCGAGGGTAGGGCAAGGGAGTGTTCTCTGTCGCAGATCTGATACAGTCTAGTGTAAGTTAAAACTGAGAAATCTATGATATTTTCTGTATATGTCTACAGTGTAATTTACAATCTGTACAACTTGCTAGGTTATGTCTACTTTCTCACAAACAATCATGGTGTCACATGACCTTTGTTAAGAATGAAAGACCTAATTACAGCTAAACATATTAGAAAAATGAATAATGCGTACAGTAGTAAGTAAGAACTAAGTGAACCAATAAGTCTCAACACCTGAAAAAGAAAAGAGGTGAATATTTTGTAATTTATTACTAATTGGAAACAAACATTAGGGATGCTGTATCCCTCTCTGGCTTTAATGTTCGATTCATGAGAGACATCTAAATTTCTCTTCTATGATTATGACTCAGTGCTAATTGTAATCTGTGTGCTTCACTCTGGATCCTATGAGTTTTTAACACTGGGATGATGTGAGGAGATATTCAGACAGTGCAGGATTTTACATGTGGGATTTATCAAGTACATACCATCCCTTAAAAGAACACGAGGCGATCTTGCCCAGTGGGAATATGTCTGGCAAAGGTTTGCTGTACCCTCCATGTTTTTTTCCAAATCTGATGAAACATGAGACCAGCTCCAGTAAAAGCTCAGAGACACATCCCTAGAAGAGAAATCAGGTCATGCAGCGACGATAGGCTGCACAAACCATGACTGACAAGAGGCCCCTGGGTACAATATGGGGGAAGATGCGTGCATCTTGAAAACAAAGAAAATAAAAAAGGACAATTTTAGGGCAATCAGATGTAGAGGTCTCATGGACCCATGTGAAATCCACAAATAATCCAAACAGGAGGCCGGGGCACAGCTGGGAAAACAGCACAGCGATGACATGGACAAATAGAAACATTATTTCCCCAAACTTTGAGTCACATTCAGGCACCTGCAGGAAGACAAAGATAAACCTGAGTTCGCAGTTTGCTCATATCCCTTACAGAATTCACCCCCAACACCTGTTGATACATGGTCTACTTTTAAAAGTAAAAGATGACTTTTATGTCCCATTTCTCAAGGTTTTAGGCAAATTAATTTAAGCTGGAAACTACAGTATTTCCAAATCCAAATGATTAAACTGGTCCAAAGTTTGCCTCAAACACAGACATTATTTTTGCCTTTCCAGTCTTGTTACCAATTTTAAACAGCATTCTCAAAATTCTAATGAATCATGTACCGATGTAGGATGTCTTATTTACTGAATGTCTGTGCAGATTACACTTCAAACCCTTAAATGGATGAGATGTCTGTCCGATGCAAATGTTTTTGTTTTACAACATATATTTTCTCCCACTTCTTTGGGGTCGGGTCGACATATGTTTTGTAGCTTTCTTCACATCTTCATTGCATTAGCAAAGGCCATTAGCAAACCTGAATAGGTTTTAATGCAAAATAAAGAAAAAAAGTATTTCTTTTCTGTGTTTGCAACACACTGGTAAAAGCATTCCAGCACACTCAAACCTCATTATCCCTCACAATTAAATCTTAACTTCCAGTCAGCCATTAAAATTTAATGTTAATTTTGTAATTTATTGAGCTAATTTCATTTATTCAGCCCTGCATTGTTATTATGGAGCACATATTGTAACACTGTACGGCTTTAAGAGGAATATATCTGAAATACTGATTATGTTTTGCTTCTTGAGTTATCTTGGTCTGGTGTCAGCTACTTTCTTTCTGGTGGAGGAAAATACATGACCTAAGCTCGAAGGCTGTTTCATCTCAAAGACAGCTCATTGTAAATAGAAAAAAAAAAGATATTTACTAGAAAATAAATTATCTGATCCTGCTATGTTGGCAGGTTAAACTGCCCATTCCACTCAGCTCTCCAGCTCAGATGTAGGCCTCTGATAAACTTTCTGATAAGCATTGTGCCTGAATGAATGTTTCCACTTTTTAATTTTTTAAGGCAGACATAATTCAGCCATCATTGAGCCTTACAATGAGCTTATCAGATATGAGGCTTTTAGGCTCAGCTAGTTTGTTTAATCCTTAGTCATTGCTACTTTCATTTTTGCTGTTTAATTTGTGCTTTTTGGTTCAGTCAAACTTCTGTATAATTAAACACTATGGGCCTGATTTACCAAAGATTTGCATGTACGAAAACTTGTGCAACTTCATAGATTTATAAATTGATCTATTAACCGTGTGCACTGAGGATTTTTCCTGTCAAATGAGCTAAATAGCAGATGAAATCCATTTAATAAGAGTAAATGTCCTCTATTAATCCCTAATGGGGAAATTAGTTCTCTGCATTTGTTCCTTCGCACACGAGAGCATATGTGGAGCAGTGGGCAGGGAACAGCTGGAGGGTTGAGGGCCTTTCTCAAGGGCGCAAAGTGGGGTTAGTAATTTTTGTTGTCAGTCTATTGAGTTAACCGGCTCACTCTATTAAACCTCTGTGCCACCCCTCCCAATAGCGTGTTTGCCTTCATGAATGTGCAGAAAAATGTTGATAGAACATGCAAAATACTGAGAGTAGGAGATGCAAAAGTAATCATTTAGCACCGCAGTGTGATTGATCAAATCTGAAACTGAAACTGGTTGCTGCTTTTGCATCTACATTAAGTGCATTTGAGAGGCAGGTGCAAACTGGTTGCAGTCATTGTGGTGAGAAGGAGGCAAATGGTAATGATAAATGGCTTGAACTTACATAGCGCCTGATCAAGTCCACATGGACTCCAAAGCGCTTTACACTTCAGACATTCACCCATTCACACATTGATGGTGGCAAACAATGACAGACGACAGAGAGATGGAATGTTCAACAAATCTGTGTGTCAACATGTTTTGATTGTTAGAAATAAAAATAGTAGAGAAATACTGATTATGCAGCAAGGCCTGTTCTGAGCTGCTGGAGGATCAAAGGGCTGATTTGGAACCAGTCACAAATAGAAACCATGCCATGTCTTTCATGGAAAAACTCCTTGCAAAACTAGCTTTGCTCTCATCTTAATTTTTCTTTTACAGTCACTCTGCTCTCCCAAACTCTCCATATTGACAGCTAGTGGCACACGCAAAATCCTCATTTCATCCGGGTGATCTGCAACACTTTTACACCTGTTATCAGTTGTGCAGCAATCTTAGCAGATCACCTGAATAGGACCCATTTATTGCACAGGCAATATTTTGGTCTGCACACACAATTTAGAGCTCGCTATTAATCAGGCCCTGTGTGTTCTGATAGTTTTTTTTAATTAAGTTGTATTTAGTTGACTGCTCTGTTGGGCTTAGAAATGAAATATTTACATTTTTGTCTTATTAGTGAGGTGAATAAAAATCAAATTTTTGGAAATTATTGTCCGTGTCTTGCTGATCATGAATTCATGCTCTATAAAGGTATCAAAATCTTATAGCAAACTTTGGGTAATTATAATTATGCAAACTAAATACACGTACATTGAGTGCAACAGTAAGCAATTTGCTCCTTTTGTTTCAATACAGGCAGTCGTCCTAAAATGGTAAATGTAAATATAACCATTTGGAACAAACACAGCCATCATAAACAGGAAAGAGCACACTGAGCTTTAGGTCTTAATAAATGAAGTCTAAAGGGAATTGTCTTAAAATGTATGGAAGTCATTGTGGCATTTTTTGTGCTTTGAAAAACATTACTGCATCTTCTTATTTTAAATTAAAAATAAATGGATTTCTGGCCTGTACTTTCTTTAACATGAAGAGTCAGACCTCTGACTTACGTTGGGTTCTGTTTGTTAACCTCTGGCTATGAAGCACTTCCTTATAAATGCATCCATAAAATAATTAATTTAAATATGGCTGAACTGCACCTGTGCAAACAGGTGCAGTCTGTTGGGCATCACACATTGAGATGCACATCATCTTTTATAAAGACTGCATAAAATTCTAATTAACTTCTGCAAAAGCAGTTATATACATGCAACCTAGTAGTGGTTTTAGACTTGATAGAATTTTATTTATGAGGCAGTTTTAATTTTTTTAAACTTGTTTTAAACATGATAAAAATGCTCTCCTTCCCCCATAGGTTTTTATATTTCTGAAGGATCTCAGTTGTTCTCAAGGCATCAAGCGTTACTTGCTCTTTGAAGCACAACAAATTGTGGGTGTAAGTGGTTTCTCCGTGTTCCACCTTCGTAAGCTGTTCCTTCCCAGATTCCGTTCTCGAAACCGTGCTGGCACCGAGCGCGTGACGTCTTCACACAGAATAGGTAATGCAGCTGTACAGTCATTTCATTCCTCTCAGTTTTCGACCAGCTCTTTATCGTCACTTTTCTCTGTATCCTGATTTAATACAGCGTTTGTCTTTTTATTCTCTGTGTACTTCAGCTGACTCAGCAGAAAATAAATTTTTTTTGTTAAATTATGTTGTAAAGGGCATTCTTACACACGTCTGTGACAGCCTTGCAAGACTGGTTTTGGTGTTTTGTGTCTTAAAACTGTTCTAAATCATTGTGGAAAATGCTTTAACATATCCAGTTTTTTTTTGTTCTTTATCTCCAGACATAAAAGCTCTATCCCTCTTTTGTGAAACTGAAATAACTCGTTTTCTCATCAGCACAGCGGCTCTTATTGTGGACCGGATTTAACTTTTTAACTAAATATTCTGTTTGTAAAAATGGGCACAGCTTCGTACAAAGTGACAATCACATGAATGAGTTAAAGCATCTTTCTTTAGTCCAAACTTATTCTCTTTTCTAACTTTTGAAACAAACAGGAATAACACCATGTGAGTGAATAAAAAAACAAAACAAAAAAACAACCAAGAAGGCAAATAACAGTCATATTTACTGTAAGCTTTACAATCAGTGTAATAAAATGCGCATTTGAAATAGTTGTAAATGTCTTTTTTCATATTTTCTTTGTATAATTTATTGTAACTTCAAACAAAAATAATTTCTACAAAAAATAGTCAAATAATGTCATATAATATTGATACGTGATTCACATCTTTTCTCTCTTCTTTAGACTTCTGATTAGCTGTTAAACTCTGCTTCCTGAATAATTGTGTGAGGATTAAATCTCGTTAAGTATGGCAACAATCACTCATTCCTATAACAACCATAACAGTGACTATTCATTTTTTTTAAATATAATTCATAACCCCCTGGATATTATATAATATGTATAATCTCAGCGACTACTAGTGGGCACGTTTAGATAAAATGACTGAAGATATAATAATTTCAAAAAAATAAAAAAAAGCAGCAGAAATAGAGTAAATGTGAAATCAAGTCTCATCCTTTGAGAAGAAATGAAACCTGGTTATTTTACTATGTAGGCCGAGGCAGCAGAATTAAACAAGCTCTTTTTGGCCCGTCCGTCAAGCTGACATGTCTCGCCATCACACTGAGCCGGACCACACACTCACGCTCACACACACACACACACACACGTTAGCTGTCAGTCTAACAGAGGACAGATCTTTAACTCAACCAGAAAGAAGAAGAAGAAGAAGAAAAAAAAGGTCCTTGTGGTTACAACAGCCATTCCCTTTGAAGTGAAACAGTGGTGATTTAAGTGTTCTTTTTATGCTTTTTGGTTTGATGCACATTGCTCCAGCTGAAGAGTAAAGGGAACAGTGGTTGGTAGGATTTTCTTCCCCTTTAACTGCATCTCTTGTCTCTGAGGTGTTTCTCTGTTCTCACACCTGAGCACACGCTCAGTGTCCTAACAGTCCTGTGAAGTGTGTGTATGTGTGTTTGCAAGGGCTTAGGTAGTGTTCGGTGAGAGCGTGTGCTTAATTGAGTGCGGTCGTGTGCCTTTTTTTTTTAGTCCGGGGTCCTTTACTTGACTGGTCCCTCCCCATCTTGCACCCCATATATATATATACACACACACACACACACTCCTTGGTTTGAGCGGGGCTTTTTTTCACAGCTCAGTGGTGTGTTATCGTGGCCAGCGAGAAGGTTAGCAGAGTGCAGAGCAGCAGGGTGGCCGTGGAGAGGTGCGGCGAGGAAGCGCCGTTGCAGTCCTTCCCCGCCTCGCAGCGCGAGTGTTGGCACAGCACGCCTTTGAACTCAGGAGGACAGATGCACTTCTGGTTCAGGTAGCACGTCCCGCCATTCTGGCACAGGAGCATCTCTTCGTCACAAACGTTAGCTGTGGGAGGAAACAAAAGCGGAAGAAAGAGATATATAGGTATAAAACGCGGAAATATGGGTACGCACTTAAAGTGAACAAAGCTTTTGGTTAAACCTGCTAAAAACTATGTTAAAACTTGACTCATGAGTGACCTACAGTACATCAGGCTGGCTGTAGTGCAGCAAAACAAATATGGCGACAGCGGAAAGGGGTACAAATTTGGAGGAGACATTGAAGTGGAAAAAAAAAGGCGAACGGAAAGAGAAACAAGGGAGCATGAAAACACTGACAAATATTGAAGCGCTAACAGGGCAGTAAAGCACCTTTAAGTAAGAGTTTGTGATTCAACTAGACAGAATTTTAAAGTAACTAAGTACAAATACTTTGTTACTGTACTTAAGTAGAAATTTTGGTTATCTGTGCTTTACTTGAGTAATTATTTTCAGCGTACTTTTTACTTTTACTCATTACATTTTTACACAATTATCTGTACTTTCTACTCACTACATTTTTTAAAAGGTAAGAAGTAGAAAGTCATTACTTCTATTTTATTCCAAATTGTTATTACTTAAAAAATACTATCCTGATAAATTGTGTCTCCTGGATAGAGTGAATTTAATTATGATTGGATGAGAAGTATAAATATATACCATTCTGACACCATATTTGCTTGTACACAACCCATCACAGCTGCACGCCGTTAGAAAAAATATTTTTTGGAGAAGTCACCTCCTAATAAATGTCATTTTGGAAAATCTAACTGCTCACTTTTACTCAGTACTTTTACTTTTAATACTTAAGTAGATTTTGTGTCAGAAATTTACTTTTGATACTTAAGTACAAAAAATATCAGATACTTTAAGACTTTTACTCAAGTAATATTTTTAGAGAAGACTTTAAATTTTACCAAAGTAATTTTATGATAAGATCCTTGTAATTCTACTCAAGTATCACTTTGATGTACTTTATACAACACTGCAACTCGAGATGTGACCTTCATCAATGACTCAAATCCTTTGAATGGCTCTTCAAACCAACTCGCAGACAACTGAGAGCCGCTCCTTTATGTTTTTTCTTATCGTGATGTGACACTGATGTCTGTGTGTTTTCCTCCTCAGATGCTCCTCCTTTGCTTTTCCCATCGAGACAAAAGAGAACAGGCAAAGGGGAGAGCTACAAGATCCGGTTTCTTTCAAAGAGCCATATATCCTTTCACAAATTCAAAGGTAACACTTTCTTTTATGGTACCCTTATTACCATGCAATTACAAGGTAATAAAAAAATGGTCATTAAATGTAATTACTACCATATTACTATATAATTGTGTGGTAATTAGGGTACAATTTTACTATGTAATTAATTGTCTGCAGTAATGTAGCACTTACCTGGTAATGTATTACAATTCACTATGTAACATCTAAACAAGTAGTAGGTAATTTGGACAGTTTTAAAGTTATTTTTATTGCAATTAATCACTAACCCCAAAATTTAGTTGCATTCTTTTGGTTATAAATATAGTGTTGAGTTACTATTGAATAGTAATTTGATTGTAGTTACCTACTAAAGGTAGTTTTACTAACAGTAATTTTTTGTACCCTAATTACCACATAATTACATGGTAATAAGGTAGTAATTACATTTAATTACATTTTTTATTACCTTGTAACTATATGGTAATAAGGGTACCGTAAAAGAAAGTATCACCAATTTGAAAACACTTAGCTTTTGTGAAACTTTTGCGATTGGTGAGTCTACCATTTCAACATATTTTTTTCAACTTTAGGCTGACAATCAGAACATTTATATCTCAAAACTTAATTTATGTCCAGTTTGTGATAGGATATACTTTACTCATCAAATGCGTGAATGTACCAATGCATCAAAATTGTTGAACTTCTTTTCCCCATATTGTTCTTCCACCGACGTCACCATTGTTGACCATTTTTTTGGAGATAAACAAACACGTGGTGCTTGGTGGCAATTTATATTTTAATTATATTTAACTCTAATTTTATTTTGACGGTTCGTCATGACATCACAATAAAGAGAAACAGATTTACAGAAGTAATAGAGTTTGAAACTAGGATCATGCAGCAATGTGACACAATGACAGGTGGTGAGAGGATAGTGGGTGAGTTAAAAGAAAAGCACAAAGATACAGGAAAGATGCTTGGCAAAGAGAAAATCCAGGAAGGGGCAGTGATAGAAAACAGAGGAAGTGAAGATGTAGCCGGAAGAGAGGAATTCAGGACAGAAGGAACAAAGTGAGGGGAAAGAAAAGAGGCAAGGTAAAATCTCTTGTTTTTCCCCCTTTGGGACAAAAACAAGTAACACCTGCCTTTTTCTGTTTGCTTTTGCACTTATTATTTTTTTCAGTTTTTCTTAAGCATGCACTTTCCCTGGGTCAAGTCAAAACTGTTTAGTCAAGCCCAGCAAAAAAAGGGGAAAAAAATCTCCTGCACGTGCGACCTTTGTTAAGTAATGATTGGAGGAACAAGGAGCGTCATTAAAATGCTAAAAACTGCATGACTAACAGCACAGAAGCAGTTGCACTTTTAAAAATACCTGACCTAAAAATGTACTGCGACAAGAAATAAATCTATGTTCTAACATTTTTTTTGTTGTTATTTCTTGAGACAATTTGCACCGTTAGAGTTTGATGTCTAACCTAAAACAAATGGTGCTACTATTAATTACACCATGCTCCTGGTTATTAATAATGAATCCTAAGTGAAACTGCATCCATGTCTGGTCTTTAGTCTGCACACGAGAGAGAGAGAGAGTGCGTACAGGCGGGTCTATTTGAGACTGAGGCACCTGACTGGATGGTAGATGGCAGAGGAAAGCGATTCTCTGTAATGGGGTTAAAGTGTGACAGGGTCATCAGTTTAAGGAGCAGCTGATGCTTCTAATGAGCTACATGATCTGTTCCCCAGTGAGTAAAGAAAACATTAGGAGCGGCACAAGTTAAGTGGACTGTGCGCTTCAAAAGGTCCCGGAAAAGGCTGGAGCGTTTCTGCTGGCCCATGAAGATCGGTCTGCTTGTACTCACGGTAACAGCCTTGTTTCCAGTAGAATCCTGGCAGGCAGTCGTCACATTTGGCCCCCATGGCTCCGTCTTTGCACTGGCAGAAGCCCGTGTTGTTACACCGGTCGTGGACCGAACCCAGCTGGTTGCAGTTGCACTCTAAAGGAAAACACATACAGATTTGCTTTTAAAATGTTAGAATTTAGGAGGATTTAACTTGAACTTGTGTTAAGTCGAACAAAACAATTGACAGTTATTGGTGTAATATTGTAATCTTGGATTCACAAATAGCTCTTTTGTGACTGCACTCGCTTAAAACTAAATGTGACAACTGGGGTCATCTGCTCCCATTCCTGTTGCATAAATACATTTTTGAACATTTTCAATTTTGAACATTTAGAGCACTGTACATGGGATGATGTGTTTATGTGATGTTTTTATAGATTCAGACAAAGACGCTTTTCTCCCAGAATTAAAGGCCTAGCATTCCTTGAAAGATTAAATATCACCTTTCATGCCAACAATTTAGACAAAGATTATGTTATGCTGAGAAATTACATAGGTGTATCTGTTTGGGTCAAACCCTAAAAAATACTGCAATGCATGATATCATTCAATGAATGACTTTCAGCCACAAGCACACACATTTTAGCTCAATATTATAAAAGTTGACAGAGTTGAAGTAATTAGTTTTTTTAAGGTCAGCTAGCATCCAACATAAACTGGGTTGGATCCAAATGTTGATCAGTTATAGAGGGACATCCAATAATTATTTCCTGAAAAAAATGGAAACATGCTTTTTTTTTTTTAACAAACACACAGATAATAACAATAACATAAATAATTTAGTTTTTTTTATTTAGCCAGATGATAATAATTACAGTAAGTCAGTCTTTTGCTTATCTTCTATTGCCAAGTGCAAGGTTTTGAATGCAAGGAGTTTCTTTGCAGTACCTAATGGAATATTTGAATATTTGTAAAACTATCTGTCATTTTATGATCCTGTTTTTTCCCCTCAGTCTGTGCAGCACTACACAAACTCTCTGCTTTAGGTTAAACCAACAGTCTTAGTAAATTTCCTGGCACAGGTTTTCTGTCAACAGCGTCTTAAAGCCTTAAAAAAACATCTCTTTCTTCTCTTCTAAGACCGAAGGAAGAAAATGACAGATGTCCTTTTATGTCAGAAAGTAGTACGTATCTCAGATGTTGGAACAGATTCAGCTGCACAGAAATGTGAGTTCTTTTCATCACATGATACCTGCATTTCAAAGGCAAGTGCAAAGATGGTTTCATGTGTTTTTTGAAAAAAATAAAAATAAGGGAGATGCTCAGGTCTTTATGTTGTGCTGAATAATTTAACAGCATGTTGAAATTCTGATTCAAAAATGTTCAACAAAACGGAATTAAAAAAACACTAAAACCTGTAAGAAGTTCACAGAAATACTCAGAATTCTTAGTTAACTAAATTTTCTGTACAAGGTTAAAGTAAAATTGTAGTAAATGGGAAAGTAAAACAACTTTCAAAATATATATTTATGGAAACATTTAACTAGAAATAATCTTTGGTATCAGATCAAACCAGCATCCTGGTCCAGCAATAATATATTGAGTTTTCCTTCTGACTTTGTTTAAAATATGGTCTGTTTCTTTTATGTAAATTTAGATAAATTAATGCTTGAACAACTATGAGAGATGGGTGTTCATGTAGATTGTTTATTTGTGTATTTGTGTGTTTGTCTTTAGGCAAAATACAGCATTAGCCTGCACAGAAATGACTACAGTGTTTTTCAAAAGACACAACACTCTGGGAGTTAGGTACCTTATTGCTGCCTCAGACTAATTCCTGAAGAGGAAGGGCTGAAACCAACCTATCCATGATGCACCTTTGTGCCATGTGATGTAGTAGCAGAGCCAAAATGGTCAACACGTGAAACTGGAAGCCTGTGCTGTCAGTCAATAACGGGATGAAGTAATGACATATGATCTGGATCGTGGAGTTAAGCTAAAAAAACAAATTCAAGCTCAATGATTGATGCACAGCAATTTTGTAAGTAATGACCCATCACATCAATCTGAGGGTTAAGTCTCAAAGTGGTATGTGGAGAAAGAGGCAGCTATAGTGCATTGATTAAAACATTTGCAACAACTGGTTTTGTCAAAACATAATCACCTTTTCTATAGGTTGTTTAAATGAAATGTCTAAAATATAATCCTAAAACATTTTTGAAGCCCTTTTTTGACGAGTAGCTACAAAAACATTATTTTGAGCAGAAAATCCTTACATTTTTTGTCATTTTCCCTGCAAACTCTTTTCTTTCCATCTGGTAAATCTTAAAAGCAAAATATTGTTTGAAGTTTCCTTTTTATAATGTCAAAAATTCCTCATTAGGATAACTTAAAAATAGGATTCAGATCAAATATCAATGAGTTATCCTGATTAGAAGACAAATGGAGGCAAATCTCTGGAACTGCTCATGGTATCAGGATAATCCAGGTAACAAAATGCAGCTTAAAAAGCAGGAATCTTAACATAAGCTGAGATCATTTTGACCAAAGTTAATTTAATCCTCAGCTTGATGTAATAGATTAGTTAGCTTCAAGATGAGTTAAGCTAAACTGAGGTAATTTGTTGTGATTAAAAACACTGGGCCTCATGCAAGAACATGTTCGTATTCTTATCCTAATTTTTTCTTACTTTTGTTCGTACAAAGGGTTCGTACGAACATGTCACGTCAGATTCAACAAACTCTTCTATCTTCAGGAAAAG